CAAAATAAAAAAATCATGGATTTTGAAACAATAAATTTTTTTTTTTATATAAACGATATCAAAAAAATTAAAACGACATTAATTCATAAATAATGTTCTGAACTATGTGTATTGTATATAAATTTGGAGTCTTAGCATCTTAGCTAACAATACAAATTACAATCTGTGTAGTTCTATCCCGCGCAAACTTATTTTTGCTATAATAATGTACATTTGTAAGACGGAGACAACACATGCAGCTGAAGCGTCCTCTTATTATAAACTATAATAAATTCGYGAAWAATGKGTAATGCTGGGAAAATGTAAACTCTTCTAAAAAATGACATAGTAAATTCTCTTAAAATATTTTTTTTGCAACCGTATTACACTTACGTAAATTCCACTAAAAAGATTTTACAAAAAAAATTAGAACCATTTAGCGTAGGTAACTTAGAGGACACTATACGTGAAGGCGGTGCTATTAGTTATCCTCCAAAATAATTGAGTTTATGTTTAGAATATTCATATTTATCATATTTAATAATTTAGTACTGATTATTTGTTATTATACCTTCAGTGGTATGGTCTAGTATACAACAACAAGTGGTGGTACATAGTAGGTTCTAAAAGCGCATAACGATTAAATTAAATAATAGGATTAGATTTGATATAATTAATATAATATTATAATATGAACTTATATTACTATTTGATATAAAAAACTAATATCTGTTAAATTATTAGTTGTATGCAGTTTAAATATTTAATAAACATGTAAAGTAAAATAAGTAGGTATATACACCGTACATTTCGATTTACGATAAAAGTTCAATAAAGTTGTTTTATTTTGATTTCGGAAATTGTTTGTGGAAATATTTTGTTAACTGGTAAATGCTAATTCCTAATTTACCGATATTCTTAACTTAACTTAATTATTTTCATTAGCTGGCTCACTTTTGGGAATTAAAATAAGTGTAATATTGTTACAAAATGTTTTTATGGGAATTTACGTTAGTGGAATACGATAACAAAATTTTTAGAGGAATTCACAAAATGTTAGTGGAGTTTACATGCACCCGTTGCTTTAGCTCAATTTTAAATTTGAATATACTGCTATTTTTTAAAACGTAGGTATCTCTTTATAGAGATAGTCCCAAATAGTCAATAGAAATAATATCCATACAACTTATATGCCTATTTAAGTTCATAGTCAAATTTTGTGAATTTTAGGATTCGGACACTACTGGTGGCACAGGAGTATCGTCCGARGATCTGATTTTAACATTTTCCACAGACATACTTAAAAAATTGCCAGACAATTTCGACATTACACTCGCTCTTGAAAAATATCCTACCACTTATAATCAGTCTATGAATACAGTTCTGGTACAAGAAATGGGTCGGTTTAACAAACTATTGGACGTCATTAAATTTAGTCTGACTAACCTACAGAGAAGTGTTAAAGGTATTGAAAACATGTTATTATTACAATAAGTACTGATGATAAGTATCATTAGGTAGGTTACTATTTAATTTTATTTACTTATATTTTTTAGAAAATGTTGTAATAATTTATATATGTATACATCTAACGATTTAACGATACCTCCTATATACATTATTTATATTTCTCCGTTATTTTTATCAACAAATAATACATTTTATACATGATCCAGTAGATTATAGAATACATACAAAAATATTAAATTGAGTACCTATCAATTACAATATTGTATTTTCTTTTACTATTTTAAGTAATATAACATCAAAAATCAATATTATAACTAGCTTTATTATTTTATAAAGCAAATTCTTATTTTGATTAATAATAAAACTTGATTATCATTTAACGTCTAGGATTAATTTTAATGTCTAACGAACTAGAAGAAGTTTATCACAGTATCTTAGTAAGTAAAATTCCAGTGGTTTGGGCTAACAGCTCATATCCATCACTTAAACCATTGGGAAGTTATATTAAAGATTTCTTGCATCGAATGGCATTTTTACAGGTAAGTAAAWTAAATATTTATTCAATGATCATTTATTACTTTAAATGTAATATATATATATATATWTTTAGAAATGGTACGTTCATGGTACTCCAAATTCATTTTGGATTTCTGGTTTTTATTTTACACAAGCATTTTTAACCGGATCCCAACAAAACTTTTCAAGAAAGTTTCAAATACCTATAGATTTGTTGACATTTGATTATAAGGTAAACAGCACACTTTTAAACTAACAAACATATTTTAGGAAAAAACTCAATAACAAAGTACAAATGAAATACATAGATCTAAYACCAATAACTCCCTAACAAGTATAGAATCTGAAGTTGGTAAGTGTATTTTAAACTGATGTAAATTTCATTGAAACTATTCAGTCTCTTTTAAACATCAATCCATAGTTCTACCTGTTATGACAATAATAAAAAAATACAAAAAAAAAAATGCAGAACTCCCATTTCATCATTTAGCAATTTATATGTGACCTAGTTCTATACTTCTATCTCAATAGCCAATTAGGTTCTAGTCATTAGGTTTAATACATATTAGTCTTATTCTTAACCTTAAGAGGACGTTACATTTGTTGTCTCCGTCTTACAAGTGCGTAACATTGCAAAAACTGTTTCGCGCGGGAAAGAACCRAGAAAGATACAGTTATAACCAGGGTTCGGGGCTTTCTAAATCGAAAAAATAAAAACGATATTGCACAGACAAAATTATCCTTTTTATGTRGTGAAMATTTCGTTTCTTAGTTATAACTGTAGCTTTCTCGGTTCTTTCCCGCGCGAAACAGTTTTTGCAATGTTACGTACTTGTAAGACGGAGACAGCACATGCGGGTGAGACGTCCTCTTAATGTTGATTTAATCATACAACCTGTAGCTACGTTTGGGTTTGTCATGTGTATATATTATATAAAAACAAATAAATATACTGTGGAACAATAGAGTGAAGAATTATGCTTCCTCCTTTTTAATTTTTTAAGTACTGGTAATATTGGTTTTACTATTCAATGTTAATGTATACAATTATGTTTTTAGATAATGGACAGAAAAATGATAGTAGATTCAGCCCCTGAAAATGGTGTTTATGTTTATGGACTATTTTTGGATGGAGCTAGGTGGAGTAATAAAAAATCAAGTCTCAAAGAGTGCAAGTTAAAACAACTATTCTCCAAAATGCCAATAATCCACATGATACCCATAAAAAGAGAAGATTTGAAATTTGACACTGTTTATTTATGTCCAATGTACAAAACGGCTGAAAGAAAAGGCACATTATCTACAACGGGGCATTCAACTAACTTTGTTATTGCTTTATGGATACCGACAATTAAGCAACCAGAACACTGGATAATGAGAKGTGTTGCTCTATTATGTCAACTATCACAATAAATCTGTCAATTTGATATAATTTTTTGTTATGCATTTTAGATTTTGAGTAAAGAATTGATGTGTTTTTGTTTATTTTTATCACAATTTTTATTGTTCAAAAAATGCATATATTTTCTACTTTGAAGGAGGTTAGCAAATTGTATTTAGTTTGTACTTTGAGAAGTGAAGAATAAAAAATCTTCAATACTTTTCAAAATAATCAGAAATTACAAAAAAAAAAAAGCCCAATCTCTTCAGTATTCTTAGGGCTAGTTGACCGTCTACGGTTAAACTTTGATTATGCTTACTCGTCTGATAACAGATATTTAATCGTGCAAATTTGGCCGATTAAACTCCGGTTAACTTTAATTGGGGACGGTACAACAGGCCCTTAATATTGTAAGTTAGGCACACCCTTAATGTCAGAAGAACTTAATGTATCATGTTCTCAACACAAGACMAACTCAAAATAATCTCAAAATAGTGAAGCTTAGGAAATATTCCATATTTTTATCTAAATATTATTTAAAACAAAACCACTCTTGCCCTTGTGGATGTTCATTATCTACTTCAACAACATTTAGGGAGTAAATTCCCCATAAAAAACAACTACCAATAATATATATATTTAACATCTTCGTTAACCATATCTGAACTCCCAAATTTCACTAAAATATATACTAAAGCATAAAAAATAAATAACAGTACTGGAGTACTCTAGTAACAAAAAACCACACTAAGAGTTTGAGCCTACCAAATTTTAGAACTATTTGCACAGCTGAAGAACCAGTATTTTTTATGTTCTGAACATTATAAAAAAGACTCATGGATAGTGGTTTTCCTCAGAAACTCACTAAATAATATACTTACATACATTGACAACAATTTTTTCCTATATCAGATGGCTAAGAAAATTCAAGAACAACTACATGACTTGGAATACTCAATTTTGTTGATATGGATACCTAACCATAGTAAAATCTTAGGCAACAAAAAAGCATATGATGCAATTGCATYYTCAAAGGCTATTATTTTAACCGAGTTTACWTTGTTTKGCGCTAAAACAATCATCAGGGTAATAATAATATGTGGAAACAGCAATGTATCCAAGGAACATCTAAACTACACCAAATTAAAAACCACATACTCGCATATATCCACTCCTATCAGATACCGTGTGGAAAAAGAAACCTTCATCAACTGAACGAGAAACAGCCATAAACCAACCTACTAACACCTAATAAATAGAGATAACCTCTTATTGTACTAGTTGCAGTACCCCTTATGGTAAAACTGAAATCCWCATTCCACATTAAAGAAAATGAGAGACCAGAGGCAGGAATTCACAATATTCTGTCAGAAGCACCGAAAAATAAATCTAATATATTCAAGTATTTGTAATTTAAAAAGCTATTGGTCATCGTTTCTGTTGCTTGATCAAAATAAATGGTTCAATGTTGCTTATAAAATATTTAATTAAAAGAAAGTTTTAAAATAACATATTATAATATAAAATATAAACTTCCAACAATCATACAGATAAGTAAAATATATTAAATACATGTATTGTAAAAGTAAAATTTTAAAAAAATCAATAAAAACAAAATCAACAGTAAAAAAATCAAAAAAAAATCTTAATCTTAGCTAAGCTAATTTTTTTTTTTAATTTATAAATGAAATAATAGGAAGAAAGAAAAAAACATTGCTCACTGTGTTTCTAAATAACTAACTATAAATACTTGAACAATTTTTATTAAGTTTATTATTGTTGGCATGTGTAATGCATCTTTATTATCACTTTCCTTATGCCAAACTTTTGGAAATGGATTTGGAATCAAATGAACTACTTCAATTCCTGCAAAACAAAACTTTTATTATAACATACAAATTTAGAGATGTATTTGAATTTTAGTATTTACCTCTTTGATAAAATGGAATATGGTCATCATCAATTTTAACAAATGCAGACATTGGACGAAAATAGGTATCAGTATGTTCATTCAGACAACCAGTCTTGTTTAAGAATGTTTCAGATCTTATTAAAGATCGATATAGATCAGAAGTTTCTAAAAAATAGTTATAGAATTTTGGGTTCTTTGTGCCTAACAAATCAAGTAGCATTAAAAATTCCTAAGAAAAAAAAACAATAAAAGAGTAATAAAATATTTGATTACATGTTTGTTAATCAAGTTATGAAAAGAACTCATAACTTACAATTCTGTATAGTTGATTTAACTGTCGGCCATTGTGTAGAAATTTGGTATTTTCCATCTTTGAAGCTAAATGTCGGGAACCATACAGAGAATCTGTATCTGACCATTCCTCAAAAGCTTCTTCCCCATCGAAAAACACCATCATCAAGCTTAAAGGCTAAATTATTTAAAACAGTATGTTATAACAAACACTAAAATATCAACTTATTATTATACCTWATTTATTTCTAGAATAAAATTTAGTGGGRTTTCCAATAATARCATTATCTCTAAACAATGTACATGTTCAACAAAACCACAATTTTGAACTAGMYTTATTATTACTTTGAATTGACCAAACTGTTATAAAATATAAAACTAAGAACAGAATTTGTGTTTGTGTGTTGGCATTTTTATTGATATACCCAGAGGCGGACTGGGAGTCGAACAGCCCAGTATTCTACTGTCGGGGCCGGCACTACCCGTTTATACCATCCTCTATGAATAAGATACTTATAATACCTACATACTTTTTCGGGTATTTATTTATCAAATATATTAGGCGGTACTGCCGTACTGGATTGTGCATAAACACCAAAAAGATAACTTGTATGCACACTACGAAATTAATTTATGATTCGAAAGCTTCACTAATTTCTAAATCCATGTTTAGTACCTAATTATAGGCTAGAG